AAAAATTGTTCAAAAAGCAGCTGCCTGTCAATGACTGCTAATATATGTTTGTATATTGTTGTAAGGATTGCATTTTCTATCACTGTTCGTACTGCTAGGAAGAAGGTCCAAAAATAATCAAAGGACCCGTGCACGTTTGCATTTAAACGCATTTAAACATGAATATATGCGTATAGTATGTTTGCATATGTATGTGCATGCAAGATTTTACATGCAACGCCGTGTCTGACCACAAGCCCAGCAGCAGCAGCAGCAACAACAACAACAAATACAATAACATTTCATATGAACATTGACGCAAATTGAAAATGCCAACTGCCAACTGGTTGCTCATTTTTTCCCCGCTGGGTTCTTGTTGGCTGCGGCATCATAATTTCACTTTTGTCGTTGTTGTTGTTGTCTGTCATATGTTTTTACAACATTTCACATAGACAGATATATGTACATATGTACGTACCTATGTGCATCATTTGGCTCTGTGAGCAATTTTTTTTTTTTGTGAACAGCCTTCAGGTGCAGCATTTAATGAGGCATGCATTATTCGATGTTTGTGTGAGTGTGTGTCACAAATTTCTTTCTTATAAATAGCCCAAAATGTTGGCTAGCACTTGAAGCCAAACATACCGCCTATATGTACATATATGCTTATGTACATATAGTACATATGCAGTTGCTATTTTAGAGGTCAACTGTAAGAGCAAACTTCATTCAGACAACTTTTGTATCATATTTCTGCTCATCAGTTTCAATGTCCACCAAACATTTTATTTCGATTTTCCGTTGAACAATGAAAAGAAGAAGATAAAGCTAGTGACATTACTGTCTATTAATTGATATGCCCTGAAATCGAAGTCTGTGACAGAAAGGCGAGCAAGTCAATACGCACAAATTGACAGAGTGATGTGGATATGGCCAGCTATCATGTCATGGATAGACAGCGAGGAAAGGACAGTTGGGGATATTATTAATGAAAGCAGTATTAGACATGAATATTATATCCATTTTACTCGGCCAAGTTTTTGCTTGCCTGTGACCTTGTGCTTGAACTTCTTTTTGGCCTTGTCATATAAAATGAAAAGAAAATATTGAACTCTGCCAAAAGCTGCTTCTATACTTATTTAAAAGCGAGAATTGATTGTATTTGTAAAAAACTAGCTTTGTTTCTAATATAAGAGCAGTATTTATTCAATGATAATGTTACTCTTCAAATGTATATTCAACAACTTTTGCTTAACTTTGAATAATGAAAACATTTTGCGCTGAACAAACGACCGACTGCAAAATTTAAATCTACGTCTATACGAACTAATGAAGACTATTTGGGAGGAGTGTTGACTGCTATTAAATTAAATTATTTCACTGTCGTACAATAATGTTTGGTTTGTTGAAAACTTTATTTTTAGCATAAAACATTTCAATGCGCAAACATTTAACACACTATTTTGGTTGTAAAAAGAATTAATTGTGAACTTTCAAACTGCCTCAAACTTATTTTTCAACATACATGTATTATAATTAAAGTGTTTGAAAAAGTAATTCATATTTTGGGTTGAATTTGGTTAAGCGTCTGAAATCTAATAAATATTTAACTATATGATAAATATTCAATTATTAATCGTAAGTAAGTATACTTCAGACATTTATGTAATCCAATAAAACTTATTACTTTAGTCATTATTTAAAAAGATGATTTAAAAGACTAAAGAAGAAAACAGAAAAGTGTCGACTGAAATCTAATAAATATCTATAAATACAACATCTGATAAATATTTAACTATTAATCGTAAGTAAGTACTCTTAAGGTATTTATATAATCCAATTAAACTTATTATTTCAGTTAAATTTTTTTTTAAAAGACTAAAGAAGAAAACCTTTGGTACAGAAAAGTGCCCCAAAATAAACGCTTAATAGCTCAAATGATATGCCAATGAACTCTGAAAATATAAAATCAATTTAAATGTACAAAGTTTGTCAAACTTTATAACAATTCAGGCTTACGGCATACGAGTATTTGACAATTTTAGATTTAAAGAAAGTCAAAGCAAATTGCAGTTCACCCAAAGGGACATCTCAAATTCTGATTTATGGTTTTTGTATTTATTTATTTATTTATTTGCATCTTACATTCAGTCGTTATTGGCAGCTCAATGGCTAGCCACAAAGGTATTAATTTTAAAAGAAAAGTTTAACTGCAAGATAAATGTTGGTAGAGGAGTGTTTTGACAGCAGTTTGTTATAAATTTTCACTACAATATTCAACCACTAATGTGTTGAATTTCCCAATATATACATATATACTACTGAAAGATTTAAGTTGTCTCTTTTAAATAGCTGGAGCTGGGCTTTGAGGAATTAATAAATCAGTCATTCTGACCTTTTTCATTTTCAATTAAGTCCAATTCTATTTAGCGAAATTGTGGAATTTGGCATTCTATTCATTATTACTTTTAGTTACTTGCATTTAAGTCCAACTTTGCGTTTCTGCAGAATTCTTAAATGAGATTTCTTAAAAACAAAAGTAAGTTCTTGCTTGCATACTGAAATGCTCGTATAATGCCATATTGCACAAGCTTGTTTGGCTTTCGGGCTCAACATAAGTTTTCATAACTACGAAAGTTAAATAAATCTTCAAAAGGAGCTCACAAATGTTTCATACTTTAAGCGCTCACCATTATTATTCTGGGTCAATTTTGAGTCATAGCTCAGGCAGGCTATTCAGGCTCTAGTCTATTATAACTTCATCCTGGCCCGAGCTGGACTGGCCTGGACTGGTCTGCCAACCTGTCAGTTTGGTAGTCCCTGTCGACTTGTTTTGATTTGAATAGCTAGCCCCATGCCCGACCTTTTATCGGCAGCATCGTCCTATATTGCTTGCTGTACTTTTTTGTTTTTCCTAGAACTAAAGGAATGATAGGGTGTTACAGTTTGTTAACAATGTATGTAACAGGTTGTATGATTGAACTTTAGGCGCTTGATCAAAAAGGGTGAAACAAGTTGAGTTCATGCGATAGTTTGTCTGTATGAACGATTGATTTCGATTTCACATGAAGTTTACTATTAAGTGAAAACCAACTGATATGTTCCTTGAAATGAACGCAAAATATACAGATTTTTTCCTACATATGCAAAAACCATATTTAAGCCTCAATGAAAAAGAAAATGATCCGATAAAAGACGAAGCTTGTTAAGAAAATCAGTGGTTTCCTGTAACCTTATTATCAGTAGAGAATTCAACAGACGGCCCAAAAATCATGTTCGAGGTCTGAAAAACAAATTACACCGTTATTATTTTCGAGTATAGAGTATCTATTTGTCGGTTTCGTACCTCTTTCTTTTCTTAACCAACATTTTTGTCGACATTTTTTGTTAGATGATTTTTTGCTGCCGCATGGAAAACCACATGAAAAAAATAACATCCAGCCTGGCTTAACATTTTACAATGTGACAAGCCACACACACATACACCATAACATACAAGCACACACATGCACACACTTACACACACACATAAACAAACTTACACATACACTGACTAGCTTATACAGAAACAAGAACAAGAACCAGAACATGAGGCCATGCTTAAAAGGGAGCTACGTTTTTCCCTTGTTAAAAAAGTTACAAATATGTGGCAATAATTTGTTGTAGTTGTTTTGTTTTGCCAGCGAGCCAACAACAATGGCAAAGCGCAAAAGTAACGGAAAATTGTACGCGTTGAATAAAAAGAAAATAAATAAAAATACAAAACAGACACACACACACACACACATCAATAGAAATAAAGTAAAAGTAAGCGCGGGCAACAAAGTTGTGCCAAACGAACCAAAATTTTACTCGACCTACACTTGGAGAAATGAAATTAATTTTATGGAAATTTTTAAAATATATTTATGAATTGAGGTAGAAGATGGAATGCCTTTAGTTAATGAAAAGATGTTTGGGTCTTATTGAATATGCTTTATAACCACTAGAGTCATATATTAAACACTTTTGGAGTAAAAGTCCTACAGAAGTCTGGAGCTGCATATCACGTGTTTGGTTTTTTCTGATCAAAGCTCAGAATAAAAAAGTATTATTGAAATTCCGACCAGTTTAAAAAGAACAGTTCCGAAAGGAAATATATAGCTATATTAAAAAAAAAATTTATTGAAGCAACAAATGTGCTGCTTTAAAAATGTAAAAAAAATTCAGGAAATTTTCCTAAATTCAAAGAAATTTCTTTAATTACTTATATCTACTGTTTTCTACTGTGTATGCTTGTCGTAGTTTTCCACCCTCCCCGCACAGCTTCCTCACTAGCCTTTGCCTGCTCAATCGCCTGTTTGTCTGCCTTGGCAGCAAAGTATTTTTACGTGTTTTTTTTTGTTTTTGATTTTTGCGTTCAACGCCCACCGTCAATTTTTTTATGAATGAAAATGTTCGCCAACGTACGTTGGCAGCAGCAGCAACAACAAAAATAACAACATAAAAGAGTGAAAATGTGCAAATGGAAAATCATTTAAAGCTAAACAAAACAAAAGGCAGCAACGAATTGTAGAAAGCGTTCGAAACCCTCAGCGCTCCACCGCTTGCTTCCAGAACAGACGCAACAACGTGTCTCTGGGCTGGACGTTGTTGTTGTTCCAGTTAAGACAATTGTTGTTGTCTTGTTTCATTTACGTTTGCAGCAGTGCCAGCATCCAACAATAACAGCAACAACAACAACAATATCGAGAATGCGTTGACGCCTTTGTCTTAATTTCTTGTGATAAGCCAACGCAAAAACTCCCCCTCTCCGCCCACTCCTCCGCTCGCTCACACGCAATGCAAACGATGAACTTTGCGATCCCGTTGCTCGCCCCAGCAATACACCCGCACAATACTGGCTACAACATGTTGCAAGCGAACATGTTCGATTAAGTTTGCACACGTTTTGGTGCTTATTTGAATCGGCAGCACATATCTGCTCGTCAGTTTGTCGTCGTTACTCATACGCAACGTTGGCCGGCCGCGTCAAATTCTCTTCAGTTGCTTGCCGTCGCTTTACGCGTCGTCGTCGTCGTCGTCGTCATTGTCGTTGTTCTTCATTTGCGTGTGTGTGTGTGCGTGCAGCAAAAAAGTGTTTTTGAAAAGGTGGTATTATGGCAATTTTGAAATCTTCGGCAACCGCAGTGGCAGCAGCAGCAACAACAACAACATTAATAACAGTTCGAATTTGTGGCACTAATTTTTAAAAAAAATTGTAGAAACAATCGAAGACACACAACTCATATGTAAGTGGTTCATAAATTTTAAAATCAAAAACCTCGCTCGCACATCAATAATTCAAATGAAATTATGAAATTATGAATTAGAGGAAAAACGAAAAGAAAAATTGAAATATTTGTAGAAAAACGCGTCAAATCGCGCCAAACATTTAGCATTCATAAATAGGCAGAAGCTCATGTGCCATAAAAAAACCACAACAGCAACAGCACCAACAACAAACATAACCACATATCCATATCGTGCTCTTTGGCTCTTTTTGAGCTGCTTTGCACTTTGCCTCAATTTGGAGCGATAAAAAAATATAAAAAAATAACGTTTGCAGTTCATTTGCCGCCCAATTGCTGGTAAGCATGTTAACATATTTCTGTTGTTGTTGTAAGGCGTGTTGTAAACAAATTTCGTTTTTACGGTGTGTGGTGTGTGGAATTAAATTAATTTTTGCGTTTTCTTAAGTCTGCATTGAAAGCGATGATTGTGGCTTTTGATTTTTGTTTGTTTTTCTCGAAAAGTTTGTTTGTGGCTCAAAAAAATTGCATAACTTTTTGTGGTTAAAACTATGGGAAATATAATTAAATTAGCAAATTCAATTGAATAAGTGCAATAAAAATGAATGGTAGATGCACAAATTCAGAGCTACTGTTGAACGCTCTTTAGTTGTTTCTATAAATGGTATACAAGTATACCCCAAGTAGTAGTTATCGACGATGCTCATATTTATTATCATCTAGTCTTGCTTATTTAAGAATTCTTATAAACATTTAGCAGCGAGTATAAGCAATAACATTCTTTAACATTCCTGCGATGAGTAATGCAGAATGTGTAAGCAATCAATATTGTTTATGGCAATGCAATTATTGTTAAGTAGTTGTATACTTATGAATGGAACCAACAACCAATTATGAGTACAACAAATTCAGAATTCGAGTTTCTGTAAGGTAATTGTTAATTATTATAGAGGAAATAAACTATCTGTTTAGGTTGCTCTTACCACTAACATTTATGAATAGTAGCGAATATTCCGGCCAACGGTGGCATAACGAACTAAAGAAAAGGTAAATCTAATATTTATGTACAATTTAATCAATATTGTATTCCAATTACATTGCTATTTGTGTTTTTAAATCATGGAAATGAATCAATAGCTATAACAAGCAGTTATGTTTAATAATTAGCCTCAAAAGACAATGCAAATAATTTAAGATGTGCATTAAAGTTGGCAACCAAGATGAACGAAATTAATAGCTTTTAAGGTTTCACGCATGTTGCTGGCATTGACGGAATTGTAAATACAATCAAGTCACCATTTAGTGGGATTCGCTTGATTTCATGCATAGTCACCATAATTAGCTGAAACCTTTAAAGTATAGTAAGAAAATGTTAAAATCATTTAAAACTAAGCTAAGAGTTTAAACCCTCAAACTGATTTGTGCTTTTACTGAAATAATACTCGATAAACTAGATTAAAAATATTTGTCTACATATTTTTTCTCATTCTCTTTTGATTATAAAATCCTTTAAACTTGCGGCCCCCTAAGCTAACCCAGAAACGTCAATATTATTTTTGCTTTTTGTTCGAGCTTGAAATCAGTGCTCAGCTATTTCTTATTTTAAGCTCCTGAAGCACACAAAATGGCCTGCAAAACTTCTGCACTTTTATCCAATTATCTCTGCCTTTTCTTTTTAACACCAAACAGTGCATCAATCTATTTGAACTCTGCACTAATTACTGTTAAAGCTTTTCTCGCTTTCCAATTTGCTGCATTGTCACTCGCAAATGATCGCCCGAAGATGCAATTACATTACAATAAAGCAATGCAATGCAATTTATTAAAAAAAAAAAAAAAATAAAGAGAGAGAGTGAAACAAAAAATGCTTTGAGCCAATTGAGTAATTATGCAATCTTTTCCAGTGACAATTTTCTCAAGAACAAAAGCAGGGCAGCAACACAAATTTTTGATAAGATTCACGAAAATAATTAAAGTTTTTGTCGGTGATATGAAAATAGCTGAATTAATTGTATTTAATCAAAGTAGGGTAGTGATAAAAGCAAATATCTGTGGAGCTTAGCTTATCAGAATATACTTATATAGAATGACAGCGAATATTTATCATATTGAAGACAATATTTACATTTAAACATGTGGCATTGTGGCTTCAAAAACTCTGTACGCAACTCATTAGTTTGGGCAATTCTTTATAGAATCAATAAGCATAAGGCCACTAAACAAATTCGATAGTAATTTCCTACTCTATACTTGTTTTTTGTGGCTGTCAGGACCGCAAGATATTGGGGGAAACCGTACTGCACACAAGCATGCATAATTATTTCTGAGAAGACCACAATGGGCATGTTTCTGGTGATCACATAAGTAAGTAAGGAATCGAAATGAGAACCCTGAGGAAAATTACGTATGCCACGACTCAGCTCAGGTGGCCCATCCTCAACAATAAGTACACAGCAATGTTCTTCCAAAAGAAATTGGCAAACAAAGCCCTAATGTGACACTTATAGTCAGACATGCAGCAAGACTAGAGTATAATTAAATGCAATGAAAAGACACAAAAGCCAAATTTGACTTTCAGTTGACAATACGGACAAACATATTTCGACGACTTTCTAAATACTTATTTCTAAAAAGCAGCGGCAAATTGTAACTGTTCCCTTTTTGTTTTATAAAATATAAATTAAAGGTGTTTCCCCCTTCAATGCTCGAGAAAACAATTGCATTTGCTTAAAACATTTATTTCCGTGGAACTCCAAGGTCAACAAAACCAATAATTTTACGCTTTAAAATGCGGTCTTATTCGGAAATGGGATTTGGAGTAATGGCCTTTGTCTGCAGTTATAAGAATGTTGTGAATATAAAACAAAAAAATTGGACAAGGGAAACAATATCAAATCACAAATCAGATAAGTTGAATTCGTTGGGAGCCACTTCAAGGTTAGAAACAAATAGTTTCAATTTTCCAGTGTGCGACTTTTTCCAATTCATAAACTTTTTAGCTTGTCATCCAATAGCTGATTATTTTCCAATTACGTAAATATATTTATACTAACGACCCATTCAATTATATATTGTTTCATATTAACTAAGTCTTAGTGCAGATATCCTACAAAATTTTTATGAACATGCAAAACAACTGCAAAAGTGCTCAACTGTTATATTCTTTTGCAACTTAGAAGTAGAGAACTTTATAGCCTTAGGACCTTTAAGTCTTCAAAATAAATAATAAAATACATATATACAAGTATACATGTAAGCATGGCTTTTGAATGATTCTTAATCTTATAAACAGACATTGAAACTCATTGTTTAATTATTTGCTGCCAAATGTGGCAATCCCAAGTCAATTGGCTGCTGTTAAAAAGCATGCAGGGAAAAGTATTGATTAAAATATTGCAGCAACTAATAACTTATCGGAGATTATTTATTGATATCAGTATTGCTCATTTTGTCAGCAGAACCGTACGAAATATAATAGCGAATTCAATTTAAATTAGTAAATAAATTTAAATTAGTATTTAAATGTATTCTATGCAGATTTTTTTTTTTTGCTTTTTGTAAGCGATAATTTAAATACTTTAAAAGCAACATATTTCTATAAGTTCTTGATGTTCATTTTAAAGACAATTGTTTCCAAATGTATTCTATGCAGAAATTATATTATTTGCTTATTATTATTATAATCTGGTTAGTTGTTAGTAATTATTTGAAAGCGATTATTTAAATACTTTAAAGACAACATATTTCTCATAAGTTCTTGCTGTGCAACATTTTAATTCTAGGATAATTGTGTGTGTGTGTTTTTTCTCCTCGCCCCAGCACTCGGCTTCATTAAAAAGTTTGTAAGTCGCTTAACAATGTGAAAGCTCTCACACTTTAGTTTAGTTATTGTTTATCTGCTGTGAAAGAAAACAAAAACAATTAGCAAACATGCATATTTATTGCCTACAGACGCGACCTTTCCACCATTTGAAAATTATCATAAAAACAAATACAGTCTATGGAATACAAAGGAATTGTAATTCGAACAGCTTGACCTTTTGCCCATTGTTTTAAATGCTTTTATGCTGCAAACAATTTAATCAAGTGATCAGAAATCTGCCCAAAGCCTCACATACATAATACCCACCATTCCCATTGTTCACAGTTTGTTAACCCATGACAAGGGGTCAACGAAAAATAAAAGAGTCCGGCAAAGAGTTGCAACAACCCAGCATTTAATTTGTTCTACACGGATCGTCGACTTTCAATTTATATTGCTCCACTACCCATCGTACCCCATAGATTGTACATTCATTCGTTGGCCGGCTATATATTTATTTTATTTCTAATAAACCGTGACGACAATTTAATTTATTTTTACTAGCCATTATAGTTCATTGTTGCCGTTGCTCGCCTCTTTTTTGTTTTGGGTATGCGAATATATTTTTACGAGCAAATTAAAGTCAAATGTCGCAGTCTATTCCTCTTTTTTGAACTTCTGCCTCGACTTTCTGCGTTCCTGTATCACAAAGTGCCATAAAAGATGCATATAAATTTTTATTTATTTATTTTAAAGTTGAAACGATTTATTGTGCCAACTTTGTAGCAACCTGGGAACAGAATTTGTTGCTTTTTTCGTTGTTGCCGTCGCATGCTGCTGACACTGGCAATTTATGAGCAATTTATTGATAAAAGCCGGCACCAAAGGCTCAGGCAATGAGCAAATGGCTTTGATTATGCACAATGAAGTGGCGCCTATGGGAAGGGGGTGTGTCAGGGCTACGTTGGGGGCGTTGTCAATGAGTTCATGTGGGGAGGCGAAACAATTGGTCGTGTGCACGTGTCGTCCTCAACGGCATCGCTCGTGCCTTGAGCCTTGACAGACGCTAGAAATAAATGACACTAATGTCACACTGATGAGTATTAATTGAGTACGCCCAAAGACACTCACACTCACATATATATATATATACACATATGCATTCAGACTTGTATATTGAATGCTTTAGCCACTCAAC